GTAACTTCGCAACAGATGTTTCGGTGCGCGCGGTTTTGTTTACGGCCGAGAATCGTGCAAGCCTGGTTTTGGTCTTTGGCGATCCGCGCACCTGTGAAACTCGCTGGATAGTTTTGGTGCGAACGTTCAGAGACTTTGTTGAGCGATGCATCGGACGCGGTCATGTCCAGCCCAAATGGTGCATGAACAGCGGGAGGGCCAAGACCTACAAGTTTTTTTGTTTCTTTTTCCAAGAAACTTATGTGGGTTTGTACTTTCTTATGCTCAGTTTTATCTGCTCAGCGAATTTACATTGAACTTTTGCTGCCCGTAGTTGCTAGTCTTCGGGTTGACCGTACTAGAGACAGTCTCGTTTTTAATCTCGCAGTGAAAACAAATGATTTATAATATTTTCAGCGAAATAAATCCCCGAACTTCCACGTTTTAAGTTATAGAGCTGGTACACTAAGCCCCCCCATCCTTCGCTTCATACACAACTGCATACTCAAAGTGTAGCAACAGGGTTTAATCTTGAAAATGGTCTTAGGCGGTCCTGAAACAGACGGGAAATAATAGGAAGACAGGATTTAGCTTCCTATATTTTTATTTTCATTTTCATTTAGTTCTTGTCCCGGGTACGGCAACAGCCTTTTTCGTCATTAATTAAAAGTTGTTTTTGGTGAAGGAAAAGAAAGGGGGGGGGGGGGGGGGGGGGGGGGGTGTTAGGTTGATGTCCTCGCGATTGAAACAAGTTTAAAATTTCAAAGATCATGACCACATTGGCGTTACAGATGCTAGGACATGGAGCGAGTAATTGAACGTTTTCTCCCGGAGTAATGCCCCGAAAACTTTGTGGTTCCTGCCAATTCTACAGCCTGCTGAGTGACAACAACATTTCCGAAGTTTGCAGATGATAGTACTCAGTCGGGATAACAGTTAGCCTAGGTCATTCGACCACCTTTTTTCATTTTTTTTTTAACCTTACTTGCGTGAGAAGCTTCAAATATGTAAAAACGAAGCTACTGATCGTTGGAGGCTATACCTGAAGTGGCTTATTTCTTAAATGAGTGAACAACTTGTTTCCTTTCTGCGAACAACTGATCGAACCTTGGCATGTTAAATGCGTAATTATGTGAGTAAGTGTGCACATTTGTAAAAATATATGCTATTGGAATTGTAATGTTTATTTCGGATCCGGAGACCCGCGGTGCCGCAGAAAGGCAAGTCCGATTACCATGAAGGTCTACGGCGCGGCATCTAATAATGACCGATCTTTCGATGGAGCTTGTGGGCCAAAGGAACCAAGTGATTTTGTCAGTGATTTATTTTGGCGCGTGCGCATGTAAAGTGGTGTCCTCACTTCGTTTTCGCATGGCTAATGTGGAATAAATGCGCCTCTAAATATTTCGGTAGCAGCTGTCCATTTCTTGCCGGACAGCTGGACGTCTCCAGATAAAACAAAGAACACACAGGGCTACACACTTTATACATTTCACTCAAAGCGAAATCACACAGCGTAGGCTTTTTTTTTTTTTACATTCTGTATGCATGTATGTATCCTTTACTTATACTACCGGAACCTGACGTGCTGCTCAGAAGCCTTGCTCCAGCCGGACCCGAAGTCATCGTAGGACAACCGCCCAACAAAAAATGAGGGGCGCCACGTTGGACTTTTTATTGCTTGGCATAGAAACGGCTTTTAAGTAGGCTACTACGTGTCAAACGTGCTAAAAAAAAAAGCCGTTTTGAAAAGTTAGTTGCGTACGTCATTACTAATGTGATTAGTTAATCTTATATGATAATCTATAGAATATAATATAAATCGCTAACTCGTTCAAGTAATGAAAGCCCCCACCACGCACAGGGAATTCGGCGCTGCTGTACAAAAATCGACTCCATTGACCCAATGGGAAATTGTCTGGGGTTTGCTATTGGCACGAACCCCCTCACTTCTAGTGCCTTCCAGTCGGCAAATAAAATGGTTCGCCATTTTACCCCAATTCAGTTATGTCAGAATTAAACATGGCTGCCGCCACGAATAAAGTATAAACCGCATGTACGCGACTTTACGAGCGACGAGACAAGCGACGGCGACCCGCTTCGCTGTCGCTCGGTCAGTCGCGCGACGAAGCCAACCGCGTGAAAGCGACGGGAGCAAGCGACCAAGGCGATGAGCGACGTTTTCTAAAACTTCCAGAAACCGAGCGACGCGATAAGCGACAGTGAAAAATCTCCGTCGCTCGTCGCTGAATTCCTCGTCGCTTGTTCCGTCGCCCGTCTTGTCGCTCACCAAATCGCTTACACGAGGTTCGGCCTTGAACGCTGTATGCGACGCTCTAGCTCGCCTGCTCCTAGCGCGACTCATGCGTCTGTTTCGTGCGTTGCGCCAGCCAAGGAACGCTTAGGCACTCGGCCGTAGCCGCTCAGAGTGGATCCGCGTTCGCAAAGCGTTTGCGAACGTGGTTGTATAAGGATCCAGTACAATGGACCTTTTCCGAGAAGCGTTCTGCGCACGCGCGAGCGCCCGATGCCAAGCGGTGGAAGTCGGCACGAAAAATCGAGGAAAATCGGAGTGAGGCTGTAGATCGACAAGTAGAACACGTAATTGCAGCATATATATAATTGTGGTACACAAAAAAAGAAAGTGGACGGAAAGAAAAACACGACGTTTGGGTGGACGCTACGGATTTCCTTCTTTAAAGTCGCGTTGGGCGCGCGACGCTGCTCAGAGAGCGAAGGAACTGATAGCGTAGCTCCCATTATCGATTGGTAGCGCAGGTAGGTCACTTCCTCGTTTTTTAGTTCGTGCAGCTGCCGCCTGGTGCCGTCGGTATTTGGAAAAGGTCCATTGCACGCGCACTTGATGTCATCGAGTGCGCGTGCAATGGTACAGGATCTTTATGGTTGCGAACGCGGATCCGCTTCCAGCGTGAATGAGCGGTTAGGGTTTTCGGTTGAGCGTGAGTATTTTCGGCACGCGTGGGCGCCTAGGAGACGCTGGACCTTCTGCTGAGCGACTCGGAGCTGCGCGCCGCCCTGGACGCCGCCGGCGGCGTGCCGGCGTCGGGCGGGGTCTCCTGGGAGGGCTTCGTGTCCATCCACGACCGGGTGTACCTGGGACCTCGCGAGGAAGACGGGAGCCTTCCCGGCGCCGTGCTGGCCATGCTGCGCGAGGAGTTCGCCCGCTTCGACAGGGACCACCTGGGCAGCATCTCGTGGACGCAGCTGCTCACCCGATTCGTGCTCAAGATACTCCGCCAGAGGCACTCCGACGTGAGTCCTCGAAATGCACTTGCCCCCCCGAGTTTACTACGTGAGTTTGCGCTTTAAGAAAAAAAGAAATACTGTTTTTTGGCGTGTTTTAAAAGAGCTCCAAATTTACAGTATTTGGAGATGCTCTGTGGCCTCATTTTGTCAGCTGGTGTCGCGTGACGTCGAGTCACGTGACCGTCAGTCCATGACGTCACAGTGTCGCGTAACATGACGTCATGTAACGCTGACGTTGCGTGACGCCATAACTTTACGTAACGCTGTGAGATCACATGACGTCATGTGTCACACGACGACCGTCACCCCGACGAACGAACACGGTGACTTCTTCACGCTGCTGCTTTTGGATAAAACCAGTTGATGAACGTATTGGAGGAAGTCAAGAAAACTGAGTTGTTCACGTGATGTCGTCACGCCGAATTTTTCAAAACACCGATGACGTCACGTTCACTTCGGGACGTCACTAGCGCGAAGTCACCGTCGGGGCTACGTGCCATGAACACGAAAGCGCTAAGAGCTGGCCCAAATGAATGCCAAGTACGTAAAAGTAGAAAGCCGGAGTCATAAAATAAAAACAGTACAGCGAATTTTTTTTTCTTTTTTTTTTTTTTCAGAATGGTTGTGCGCATGCGCGATGCGCGTATAGTTTGCGCAAAGCTTCCCACCGAAATTAGTTTGTACACGCGCCGCTTGGTGCCGTCTTCGTGCGGAAAAGGTCCACTCATCGTTTGGTCACCGGTCCTACTAGCCATACCATGCTGAATAAACCGGTTCTCGTCCGATCGTCTCATCGTTCGAAGGCAAAAACGGCCTGCCGAAGACAGCTGCCAGAGCTGCGCATTGGCGTAACCGTTTATTCATTTTTGTGTGCGGTGAACCACCAACCACCTACCCTCGGTCTGTTTCAAACACCGGTACCGCGACCTTTAATATAACGCCCCGTTACAAGAGTCGGTGTATGCAATCTTGTACAGGCTACTCGAAAGAAGTAATTGACTACAATTACCATCACTCTGGGTTAAAATGTATTCAATGAAATTACTCGATTACTCGAGAATAAAAGTAACTGACCCTTACTTGAAAAAGTAACCCTTACGTTTCCGATTATACTTTGGATTTCCAAAGCGACAGATTATCTTGCAGTTTCAAAATAGGTCTCTCCTATACTGTCCGTTATGCGGAGACCAAGTCGTCTGCTTCTTGCTCGGGAGTGGCGGTGACGTCAGAACTATTCCCGAGCTCTGATTGGCTGATTGAAAACAAAAGAATGGGTAGACCTCAAGGCCTCTAGCATTCAGGTCTACCCACTATTTTGTTTTTCAATCAGCCAATCAGAGCTCGGCGTTGTTCTGTCGTCACCGCAACTCTTGAGCAAGAAGCAGACGACTTGCTCTTCGTATTGGATTAGAATCACCGAACTGCAAATTACTTCTGCCAAATTCGGTGAACCGTCCTGCTTTTGGAGACTGGTTTCGAGTATTTCTTGCTAGGGAACTTTTACGAAGGACGCGTCATTAGAAAGGCGAGGGGAAAGAAGTAAGGCTTGGTAGTAATTTTAGTACCTGCAGCAGTAAACAAATTACTCGCGCGATTACGTTCTAATACATGTATCATGCGACAAATTTAATCCAAAAGGTAGTCGATTGTGAATAATATGATTACTCGTAATGGAGTGGCGTACACGTCCGGGTGTAAGTTACAGGGTGTCGCTATGTTTGGGGTGTTGGCGACTGCAGTTGGAGTTGGTGTCCCTGCTGAAGCCGCTCGAGGTTCGTCCGCTCAAGGAGGAGTTCGCCATGTTCGACACCCTCAACGGAGGCGCCATCAGCGTGGCCGACGCGCGTCGCGTGGTGCTCGAGTGGCGGGACCGAATGGGGTATGCGATTCTTTGTGCAAGTATTTTCCTGGATAGATGGATGGATGGATGGCAGAGCCGTATATGTAGAGAGTTTGGTCAATGGGAGGCGCGGGCAGAGTCGGGGCGTGCGGCAGAGTCGGAAAGAGGGCTTGGCATGCTCTCTTGACCAACCAGAGGCCGAAAAGAATCCCCTAGCGGTGGTAGCGGCAAACAGTTCTGATCGAAGGTCTATGTTCGTATATGGTTTTAATAAGCGCGTAGTGAAGTGTAGTAACTCTTTGTGGTGTAAAATAGGGTGCACGTGTTGTTTTGATCATGATCATGCAGAAAGATGTAAGAAACGAATGCGCCGCGCAACTCTGTTTTGCGCAGACAGAGTGTGACCGTTCGGACGGCAGATTCCCGGCCCTGGGCGCTTGGCGTACGAATCATGTCGATCGTTCCGCTAGTCGCACTCTTCCACCATCATTTTGGATTAACGTGATTGAAACATCACGTGTACCATATTTTTAGCCATTGAGAGTTGCTCCAATGCAGTTATCAGGTTTGTTTCTCGCGACCACCGCCAGGGTATTCCCAAGCAGCACGGATTTTGGCCAAGCAATGACCAGTTTCTGGCGATGGTCTCTTGGCCAGTGGCCAGACAGTGGCCATTCGTTGGCCAATGCTTGGCCGATGGCTGATGGCCAGTGGCCTTTTGCCAATGGCCAGATAAAGGCCAGTCACCGGCCAGTCTATGACCACTGTCTGGCCACTTGGCCAAAAACCATTGCCAGCCATTGGCCGATGACTGGCCAACTCTGTGCTGCTCGGGTTATTTCCGGCTTCTGGTTGGTCACATTCAAATTTCTGAAGACGCCCTGGAACACGCCTAGCCCGCTTTCGGCCAATGGCGCCTCCTCATTTGTCTCCTATACTTCCCAACGAATGGCCAAACTCTCTACATTTACGGCTCTGATGGATGGATGTTCAGAGCTCTACACCTTGTAACGGGCGGCAGCTTGCGCCACCTATCCTTTCGTTCAGTTCGACCCTTCACACACTTGCGTTTCGTTATAAAACCGAGTTCTTGTGATCCCTCGCGACGAAAGAACACACACTATCACGCTCGCGCCGGCTACGACGTGGCTATGGAACTGCATTTCACTAAAGGAAAGTTTTTTCTTGTTTTTGTTTTGCGGTGTTTGCGAGATTAAGTGTACAAACTATCTATGAGGGATGGTGGTTTCTAACTTGGGTTCTGTGTTTTCGGTGTTTATTTTCCTCCTAAATTCGGGGGTGTTTTTTCGGTGTTTATTTTTTCTCACAAATTCGATACTTTCCAATGTCATGTTTTGGTGTGCGAAAAACAAAAAACAAAAACAAAAAAAAAACATCTGGGATTATTGGAGTTCATGCTAAAAATTATAGTACACGGACATGGAATTCCCCAACCCCGCAGGAACATACGCGTCGCCCGAATAGTTGGAAAACGTCCCCGTATATATAGCGCTAATTATAGAAAACAAAATAATGTGTATGGTTCCGAAAAAGCAGCTTCGAGGACGGCTCATTGAGGGAGATTACGTATAAACTCGAAATTAAGTTGCAGATAAATATTTCTTCCCGTAAAGCTCGAGTTTTCTCTCAGAGACACCTCGAATTCGGGGTTTGTTTTCGGGGTTTGTCTGTGTTTATCAAAAACATAAACCCCTATAATTATAACATCATCAAACACTTTTCGAGCCAAAAACAGAAAAAAAGAAAGAATAATAATGATGCGTAAAAAATAGGTCACTATACGGAAACTGCAAGTGTTCGATAACTACACGATAGAAGGCGTCACTAGTCAGTGTGATTAGCTCCTCGTAAGAGATTTTAAGAGGTTTTAAGGCACGCAGTGGTGAGCAGCAGTCTCCCGAGTGTGTGATTCCCCTTTTCACTGTCATTTAGCAGACGGCAATAATGAAGTTTGCGAAGGCCTTTAGAAGGATTCAAAACCGCTTAGCAGACGGTTCTTGCTACTGTGTGCTACGCCGAAGCGCGCGGTTGTCGCATCAATGACCCGCAAAATCGGGAAACAGGGGACACAACAATGTAACGCCGAGTTCATTTTTTCCTTGACGGATTATTGGCGCTAAAACTTTTCCACGCTTCAAACTCTAAACGATTCCACTACCGTAAAGGAAACACTACCATTAAGGTAACGTTAAAGGAACACACAATTGGGGATTTCCACATTGAAACGCCGATATCTACAATTGCCTGTTCCGAATGAAAGGAGCGTAGAATGATCAAAACGTGATTCATGAAGATAATATTAAAAAAAAAAAAAGATTACGACTGACATAAAAAAAGCCAGGAAAACCTCTCCCCCCCCCCCCCCCCCCCCCCCCCCCCCCGGGCCTAAAAGTTTACGGGGAATTTTATTTTTTTCTTTATAAAAATAAAACAACGTACATTTGTTTGTTTTTATAGGAAGAAATTTTTTTGCTGAACTGGCAAATGTAAGGTAAACAAAATAGATCTGAGCCTCTAACATCAGATCTTTCTGCAGAAACCCCCCCCCCACCCTCCCCATGAAGCCTGACGGTCCATGCATATGTGTGTCTGCGCGCGTATGTGTGTGCGTGTGTGTGTGTATGTGTGCCGCCCGCAGGAGCCGAGAAAGCAACGCTTGGTCACGGTCTTCTCGAAGATTCCCGTTCATTCTCGCACCAGACGTAACTTTCCCCCTGCTTTGTTATTCGCGAAAGTGCCAGTTCATCCTCGCCCCGAGCGCGCGACGCTCGAACCTTCTTTGCCGAACTTTCGAGATAGTGACGCAGGGTAGATAAGCAGCTACCCGCGACCTTGTCGAGTCAGTCTCGCTCGCGCTTACTGTTTCACCGCCGAGTCGTCGCCTGCTTTTCTGCTCCCTCGACGCTCTTTCGTTACTTATTTTGTTGCCACAAGTTCGCCCATTAAACCTTTATTTTCAGTTCAATTTTCGCCTTCTCTTCGCCTTAATTTGTGACAATATGAGTCACTTACGGGTTACGGTAGCGTTTGCACAAAAGAGAAGTCCGGCAACATGTTTCTTTTTCTTTGTGACGGTGCGAGCAGGCTGACCACGAGCGTGGAGTTCATCGTGGACAAACTTCGGTCCCTCAGCGACCACCCGGACGATGGACGAATTGTGGACGTTGACCGGTGAGCCCGCCAACTGACGACCCCGAGAACTTAGCCGAGCGTTCATCCTACGAAATTGCCAATAGATGCTGATCGTAAACACGTCGACCAACGTTACTAAAACGGTCAGCTGGGAAACTGACCTTTGAGACCTGGACCGCGGGCGTCCACCGATACCGAACTAGATGCAACAACAGCGCCACCCTTTGGCGCTGTTGTTGCAGGAGTCAGAACACGAAAGTTGCTTTATGTGGTTACTGCGAGATTTCCCTGTGAGATGGCACCACCGGCTCTTGCGCGACTCGACCTGAAACATTACGTGCAGTTCCCGGAGTGGCCGCTGCGGGAGAAATGGTGGCGTCGCGATCGCGTCTTGTTTGGCTCTCAAGTAGGGATCAGAGCCACTTGGTGTCAACTTTAAGAAACACTGGTATGAAAAAAAGTATATACATATACATACCAACAGAGTTTGGCGTTTAAGACAACCCCCCCCCCCCCAAAAAAAAAAAATATATATATATATATAAAAATTTAGTTTATTGCAAAAATTAACCACGCACCGCTGAGCGCCCATTTTCTGTCCTAATATAGTGCTAGCGGCCCCAAAACGGTTGCTAAAGTTTCACAGGTATACGTTATCTTTTTCGAAAGTTATAAATGGGGCTCCGTGTTTTAGGTATTTAGTTTGTTGTTGTTGTTTAATTATTTCGGGGGTTATTTATCGGTGTTTCTTGTTTTTGAGTCGATGTTTTTCGATGTCTAATTTTTATGCCGGAAAGAAATCGGTGTTTGTCGGGCTTGTGTTGTAAAGCGACTGGATAATTACTGGAAAAAAAATATAGTATTTTATAAGTTATGAATTATAACATTTTCTCCAGTAATGCTGGTGAAGGTAAGAGAAAGGAACTGGTCAAAGAATGTGGCTTCGATAGAAAGAAACAACCCCAAAGACAGTTCAGTGGGGCTGGGTTCGGGTCAACGAGAAAAAATATTAGAGAGTAGAAGACGCCTTTCTGTGAAGCTGGCGTTTTAAATTTTTTTTCATTTTTTTATTTAAAGACAGATTCACGGATTCAGAGAAAACCACCTCGGGGGTTAAATTTGGGTTGTTATCGAAATATACCGAAAACACGAAACCTTAGTTATAAATCGTTTTTCTGAAAATTTAATTGAAAAAGTGGGATCCATTCTTGTTGACTGGCGCAACGCAGCCCCATCTATTCGGGGGCTCGGTCGGCCACCATTTTCCTACTGCAATTTTCAAAAAAATCACTTCTAACTTTTGAATGACGCCCCTGTATACCCTGCGATCATATATGACGATATTGGTCATATAATCAAGCAATACTTAATTTTTTCATCATTAGTGCATTGCCTTAAACAAAATCTGTATAACACAAATAATACAAATCGATCCCCCCTTTTTTGTTCCTACTTGGTGGCGATTCGGGCAGCTTCGTGACCTGGGAGAACTTCATGTGCGCGCTCGCCCTGCCCGTGATCGCTGCCCGACCCAACACCTGGGGCGGCCCGGACTACTTGGCCTTCCTCGAAGACGTCCACGCGTCCCTGCTGGGTCCTCTCCGCTTCAAGCTCGAGCCCGACGAAGACGCCCTGCCCCGAAGCCCGACCCCGCCCTCCTCGCAACATACGTCTTCGTCCTCGGCACCCAGCACCGCCGACGCCGGCGTTGAGTGACAGCTCAAGCCGCCGCCGCCGCCGTCACCGCCGCCGAACTGCTGCCGGCAACACGGGCATGCCCTGACACATATGTCCTCCCCCCCACTCCCCTCCGGAATTCTTTTTTCTCTTCGGGGCTCAAAATTTATTCACCGGGCTTGAGACAGATTGCTCAATGTTGAAATTCATGAGTTCGGCGTTGGCGACGCCGAAAGCGACGACGACGGCGGCGAGCCGCATGCGGCGCAGCGCGGTCCGTGCGACATCGACGAAAAGCCGGCTCCGCGCGCGACATCGGTCTTTTCATAAGCGAGCCCGCTGTTGCTTGCAGCGTTCGGCGTAGGATATTTGATTTATTTGCTTCTTTATCTCTCGTTTAATAACGCGGAAGGAAATGTGCTGCCTCGAAACATTGCACCCTAATTAAAGTCGCGAGGTGCGCTGGCGCGTGCCACGTGCGCGTTTCAATCTCTCTCTCTCTCTCTTTCGATTCACCGCTTGTGTGTGTGGCGGTCCGTGTTTGTTGGCGGTTGGCGTCGGTTTGTTTTCATGTGGGGCGGGAACTGGAGTGGGAGGGTCGCACCGACAAAAACTGCGAGCACAAGAAAAAACCTTCGCTTTTGGGGGTTTCCAAGTTTGGTAGGTGTGGCTGCTTGAGAGTGTGTTTGTGTGTGTGTGTGTGTGTGTGTGCGTGTGTGTGTGTAAGAGGAACGGTGAGCGTATACATATATCCGGGCTTGTAACGCTCCAGATCGTGTGCCTGTATGTATTTGCTTGGTTCAAACTTCCAAGGTTTGATTTTTATAATACAAGCGCTCGACGTGAACTTTGCGGTTTGGTAAATTGTGTGCGTTCGTGAACGTGTTCGTGTACGTGTGCGTGTGTGTGTGTGTGGAGGGGGTAGGGTAGGTAAGGTAGGTTTGAAGTGGAGATAGTGAGTGTGGTATGACGCCTTATGGGATATAGCGGAAGTTGTGGTTACAAGTCTGAGCGTGGTTTTTTTTTATTGATCGAGTGCGCTCCGATTGAACCCAGGATCCCTGGACTTAGTCTGCCTCAACGGGCGACCTGTCTCCCAGCTGTACATGAGCAACTTTCAGCCAGTGCAGCACCACCGCTAGCCTGGGGTCTTTAAGGTGCACTACGCAGTAGTAATACACGACCGCACGCCGGTACGCCGGACTTTTCAGTGCTGTGATGTTATGGGCAGGCCAGGCTTGCTTATTAAGCAAGCTGTAAAAAAAAAAAAAAAGAAAAGGACTATGCCAAGCATTTGCCCCGTGCTGGCGCGCGAGCACTGGAGCGAGCTCTTAAAACATTCGCTTGACACAATGAAACTGCTTAGAATCAGTTAAGAACAAATTCTACATTCCAAAGCTCCTGGCTTCCACTGGCGTAACTTGTTGTTGTTACCAGTAGAGACATTCAAATTGAAAGGTACGATGAGGACCAAATTTGTAAATTGAATAAATTCGCGAAAAAATTATTTTGACCTAACATTTGGGATACTATTTCATAGATGTTTTTGGTGTGTTTAGCAAATTTTCAGGCGAATTGTGGATCATAATATATTCGCCAGAGTACCCTTTTAACGAAATTCTGGTCTGTATAGCACGCCAATCAGTTGAAGTAATAAATGACGCCTAAAGATTCTTTTCAAAAGACAATAAGGTTTTAAAGTAATCAAGAGGCTCCACTTTTTTTTAAATCTAAAGTTGTCCAGTCTTTACTTGTTTTTTTTTCTTTTATCAAACCGCCATGTTTGGTTTAACAACTTTGCGAGCAACGCGCAGAATAAACTCGGCGCGCTCAAAAAAAAAAAATGCGTCTGGTATCTTCGTAAGTTTGCGTGTTCCAAGGAATAGGGAAATGCGTTTGGCATGTTCGAATGTCCTGTCCTACCCAAATGCGTATGGTTTCATGTAATAAATCAATACTGATGGTCCGCCTAATGTCAAAGCATCCTTGGAAAGTGGCGCCAAGCTTTCCATATGGTCGCCATTTTGGTCCATTGAATGAGGGGTTTGTCTTCCACCTCTCCATTCTCGGTGGGCCGATCTAAATTCCCTGGCGACGGGTAGCTTTGTGAAGGCGTTTCTTGAACACCGAAATTTTGTTATCCACACACCGGCGAAACAAGCGTACATCCTCGCACCGCTAGCACACGCGGCGTCGGTGCTTGACAATATTAAAATATAATTTTCCTGTCTCGAAATGCACCAGAACAACGACGCCATGGTAGGAGACTTGTAGAGATAACAAGCATGATCGATAAGTTGATTGAATACACAAAACCAAAGACGCTTAGATTGGCGAGGAACTCTTCCAGTGATGCTCCACTGGGATCTTGGTGCGACTGATTTAGAACGACGCTTTCGAAGATTCGATTGGACCAAGATGTCGATTGGGCCATGGGAACTAAGATTTGGGTTACATACAGACGACCAACCAGGGTTTGGTCGTCTGTATGATGGTATATGTTTGTCTCCAGCTAGCAGCAGGCAATGGCGCTACTTTCCCGTGATTCATGCAGTGACTTTAAGTCCGCCGTCTTCCCAGTAATTTCGGCCGCTTTAAGACGAACAAAACAAAGCGCAAACGTTGTTGTATATTATTTGCAATGTCATTACGGTCACATTTCTCCCGACTATTGCCCTCTTTTCACTGGACAACAAAAAATGTCGTTACCTACTCTTGTTTAGCTTTTATTTGCAGGAAAACACCGTCGCCGTACATTACGGGAAGCAAGACTAAATCCGACAAACAGTTTCAACGCGTTGCGGCAAAAGAAGCACTCAACAACTTCAAAACCAAACTGATCACAAAAAAAAAAAAAAAACACTGAAAGTTGAAGGACAAATATGGCGTCCACACGTGACGTTCCAATAATTTTTTTTTTTTTTAACGTTGTAGCACAGACGTTAAGCTGCTAGCATCCGGTGCGGCACGGGCCCTTTCTAAAGTACGCGCCGTCTAGTGCGCACTGCGCCAATTATCAGAGTCCGCCGTTGATTGGGCACGCGCTTCGAGAATGTATTTTGCACCAGAGTCGCGTCGGCGCTCGGCGTGAACTCGGCTCAGCTAGTGTGAAAAACCGAGTGTGACGTCAGTGTTCGGCGAGTGCTCGGACCCAGTCACGTGTTTCATGTTCGAAAAAAAATGGCCATCACCAATGTCACTCGGTGAAATTTAGAAACGGGTTCATCGCAACGGTCAAGCGACTATATACCCTCGGAACTTCGCCGTTGAACCTTTAGCGGTTTACGTCGTCTACGATATGAAAAACTGTCTATCGTCTGCGTCTCGCATCGATCTTTGCACGATTCCATAATGACGCACAACATCGCGGTACGTCTTTTTTTATCGTCTTTCGTATTCGCACGGCGCTATTTCACCCGGTTCGGACGCCAGGGCGCGCTGCATAGCAGCCTCATTTTTTAAGCGCGCGTTGGCGGCCGAAACGATTTGGCGGCGCCGTTTTCGTTTCACACGACGCACCCGTCGGAACGACTCAGCGTCAGCGCGAAACCCCATTACGCCGGAACCTCCAACACACTTCCTACGCACGTACAAACGCGTCCCTCAAACAACAACAAAACAAATCTAAAATAAAAAAAAAACAAAAAAACTCAACGAAACAAAGAGCTGGGAGTCCGAGATAAATAAAAGAAAAATGATAGCGGTCACCGGAAGAGCGCGAGGAAACCAACGATGTCGGCCAGAGGGCACAACCAAGAAGTGCGCCGCAAAGTAGCATTCAGGACAAGAAACAAAAGAACGGCGTAAAACAAAAATATTCCTCGCAATCTCTGCCACGGAAAAGACGACGATCACTTGGAGAAGGGGAGGTGGTCTCAATATGGCGCCGCTGACCGCTTCACCACACTCGCCGTTATGGGGAAGAGGAAAGGGGAGAGGAGGCGGAAGAGGAGGGATCGCGGGAATCGAGTGTCCGCCCCATTAGACCCCTCACATCTTCCTCCTCCTCCCCCTCCCCAACTCGTCGTGGCAGCTCGCGCGTCAAGACTTCCCATGAATAATGCAGCCGTCCGGTGACGTCGTAGAGGCGACAACGGTGGCCCGTCGCTTGGCACCCACCCTCCGCTCTCTTCGCCGTAGCAGTCGTCGTCGCCCCCCTTACGGTGGTTGAAACGCATTCAGGTCACGGAAGCGGTGCAGAAGAGGGCGGCCATCAAATCCGCAGCAGTCGGTTTTTGCGCGGGGAAGGAACGAGAACGGGTCGAGCTCGCGCGGTCGCCGTGGCGGCGACGCCGCCGCCGGCCGAGATGAAAACGGGAAGGGAAAGGCAACACAAATTGCCCCAGCGTTTGTCAGCGCCTTATTAAATCAGCGTGCGAAACCGGAGGAGGGTGTTTGGTCGTCGAGGGAAAGAGGGGAGAGGGGGGGCGGAGAACGCAAGTTGTCGTTGACGGCGTCGCGACCGCAGCGTCTCCGGCGGCGGCGCCGCTACCGCGTCGTTTCCGCCGTCGCCGCGACAAACGGCGCCCAGATTGCGTCGGGGATGAAAAGGGAAAAGATGGGGACGCCGGGGAGAAGAACGCGGGCGCGCGCGCTTTGGCAGCGGCCATCAGGACAGGGAAGAGAGGCCTCTTCTTTATAGAGCCTGCTTTTGAAAGCTGGCGCGCGCGAGAACGCATCTACGACGCCTCCCTCACCATCCCCTCTTTGTGTGAGTGAAAGTGGCTGGCCCGGGAAAAAGGGAAGAGGAAAGGGGCTGCCACCTTGGATTGAGGAAGCAGCGCGGTGCGACCCAAGCAAATCGTGATATCCCACTTTTATTTTTTGTTCCGCGCCGTCGCCGTCGTAGGAAAGACCGACTGCCCAGCGTCAAAGGCCGCCGCGTTGGCCATCTTCCCGGGAAGCGAGTGCGAGCCTCCTCTTTTGACGCGTCCACGAAGCTTGGCAAAAAACGTCGCCAGTGTCGTCATGCGCGCGTTCCGGTCTGTCGCCTCTCTGATCGCCGTTGTAGATTCAGCGGCTCGCGCGGCAAATAACCTCAATCCTGTCCCGGCCGCTTTGACACAATAAATAAGGGGGCTCCACTTTATTTTTTTTTTACCGCCTTTAAAATTTGTGTTCTTTTGTTCGCCGTCGTTCTCCTTGTCCCCGTTTTTTATTTGACATAA